CATCTATCATTTCATGATCTGTCAGGTAAGTTGCCTTCATTCTTCAGGTTCACAACCAATTCCTTCCTGTTACTCAGAATCAAGTCTAAAATGTCTGTTTCTGAAGCCACTTCTTCCACCTTCTGAAACAAAAAGTTTCAATGGACTTAGAAGGTATGCCAGTATTCCCTTCCAAATGTCCCTAACTTTATCTTGCTGTTGTTTGCAAAAGTGTCTCCTCTAGAACACACATAAGCATATATACAGCCTGCCAGAGCCAGATTTATCCCTGGTCTCAGCCTTTCGATTTCAGTGCAATCACTAGTCCCTGTCTGCTTTCTATTGTGGTACAGGTTGAACCTCTCTAGTTGGGCACCCTCGGTACCTGTCCAATTCTGAACCAGAGAATTTTCCAGACCACAGGCGTTCAATATTGTCTAGCAGCATTGCCAACACTTCCAGTGCTTAGTGGGCTGTTTGAGGATACGTACAGGTAAATTAGAGCTCAATAACAGCATAAAACTGGGATGGCCAACCCATTTAACAAAGAGAGCCGAAGCAGCGGCAGAAAAGATGTGAAGAGCCGCACCAGAATTGTTGAGCAAAAAAACAAAACAAAAAAAGCCCCCAGAACAGAATTGTTGAGCAAAAACAACAACAAAAAAAATAATTTTTTTTAAAGGAAGCTGCCCCTTTAAGGCAGCCACCATCATGGGTGCCAATTTGAAAACTCTGCAGCTCCGACCCAGTAGCACAGGGAAGCCAGGGGATGGGAGGGAAGCGGGGGGGAGAGGGATACTGGGGAGGGGATGCAGGAGCGGCTTCATGAGCTGCACATTTGGAGGGCAAGAGCCACCTGCATGGGTTGGTCATGGCTGGCATAGAACACTGAAAGCCAGGACTGGTGGCTGTAAACAAACTTTATGGGACTGAGAGAAACTTGGCCTCACTCATGAAAAGTGGACACCTGGCTAACTAAAATCATTCCAAGTGGCAGATTTTTCTGGACCAGAGAGTTCTGGATTAGAGAGGTTCAACCAGTACTAACCAATCAGAACATCAGTTTCTTCTGGAGTGCATTTTTAGGGATACAAAGACTAGATGCTGTAACTGTGGGACACAAAAGCCCCTTGGATCATACACAATACCTATGCTGCAAGGTCATTATTCAGCAAGTAACTCAACAACAGTTTCCCCACATCACACTTGAAGAGAATTCCTTCCACTTGGCGCAGCAAGTAAATTGTATTACTCAATTTCAGACTTCAGTGTTTTGTAATGTAACCACCCAATTGGGCTGAACCTCTGCTGTCCATCACGTAAATACAATGCTCAGATTCAGATATGGACACTCAGACGCTATAGTGATGAGCCATACAATTATCTGGATGGATAGAACAAACATGCCCAGTGGCGACAGGGACTGGCTGTGTGAACTGCCAATCTCTGCCCATGGAACATTCCATTTCCAAATCCTTGCAGCTTGAAGAATTGGATGACAGCACATTTGAGTCCTCCCTGCCCGTTTTTGATCGTTTATAAAAGTTTTCTGACCTCAAATGACCTTCTCCAAAGGAACAACAACAGCAACAGCAACAGAATTTCCTATTCAAAATCCCCCTTCCAAGTTTCTTTTCTCCCCTGCCCTCATTCACACCATGCCATGAACTCGGTAAGGGTTGCACAGGATTAAGTGGGTTGGCTCTTGTGTCTCAGGAAGCTAATGGGCTAAGGAAACCAACTCTCTGCTGTGAGCGGGAGGTGACTAGATGTGCTGCTAGAGCTGCCGTCTCACCTAAAGAGTTCTGTAATACTATATATATGCCTGGTACATACACACATACTCACTTCTCAGCTGGTGTCAGCTGACATGCTTGGAGCCATGCTGATTTCCACCACCTGACGATCTGACCTGGGTCACTCTATTCTGACACGTGCTGGCTGTTTTATGCTCTAACAAAGGCTCTGTTAATATTCTAGACTGTTCTCTGGCCTTGTCCTGTCTAGAAGCCACCTTCAAACCTATTTCTGCACACTTGTATTTTGTTGGGTCAGTGCCCAGCATTTGCTGCTTCACACTCAAGAGCATGGGATTCTGCTGGCCCTGCCACGGCTCCATCAAAAGGCAGCTCCAAACCTCTTTGAGTCAGCTGTGCTTGCTTTCTGCCCATTCCCATTGTGTGAGCTGCAGGCACAGGCAAGCTACTACACCTGCGATGGGCAACTGAGATTAGTGAGTAGGCTGCCTGGGGTGGGCAACCTGCAGACCGCGGGTCACTGGGGTTCCACCTGCAGCCCATGGACCCCGTTTGCCCCGTACCCCCAAGCCTCTCATACACTGGGACACTAGAGCTCTGCACTGCCTACTCCTTTTCCCTCCCAGTACTTTTGGAGCACCACAATCCGCTGATCTGCTCTCTGTCTCCGATCCTGACCCTTCCTCTCAGAGCTTGAACAGCCACGAACAGGTTGCCAACCACTGTACTAGATGGTGAAATTATGAAGAGTAGAAACCCACAAAGTGTCTCGGAAAACGTCCGACAGCTGCTGTTTTACTCCCTCCATTCTCCCCTCTCTCTTTCTTTGGCCCTATTTTGAATTAACCCTTATTGCTTACCCTGGATTTCCACATCTTGTCACTTAAACTAAAACCTTTCAAGTGGAACAAAGTCTCCCATTAAAATGAGCACATCAGGGATTAGTAGAAATCAGGGAGAGAAATTCCAACAGGGTATTTGGGGGAGAGGCAGACAAATTCAGAGCCAAATGAGGAATCTAAACAACCATGAACCTGCTGTAGAAACACAATGAGTTACAGAGGAGCTTGTCACCTCTCAGCTGCTGGAAGCAGGAGGAGTTGTCCTCCCCTTCCAGTGCATGTTGCAGAATCCCATTGCTTGGCTTGGGCCTCTCGTAGTCCCGTTCAGGGAGCATGGCTTGCTCACTCTCCATTGCGTGCTCCACCCTGGGCGATAAGGACTGTGGGAATCCAAACATCAAGAGGGACGAGAAGAAAAGTAAGGCACCACACAGCAGGAAGCCTGCCCACCATGCGCCGATCCACCGAGGGTCATCAGGGGTGATGTCCAGTTTACCTGCAATGGCAAAACCACAAATCAGTTGCTTACACTGGAGAGAGAGACACAAAAGCTTAAAAGACTGAAAGGGCCTAAGTCAACCACAGGGTAACAATTAAGCCATAAACCAGAGAGAGGCTGCAGAGACCCAGGTACCTGGCGTGTTGGTTTGTACAGCACCCTAGCAGAATGCGGTCATGATCCTGATTGGGGCCTCTAGGTCATATAGTGATGAATGAAGATGGTGATGATGAAGCGGGATTAATGGATCCAGATCACACATTCGGTGTACTTTTGAAACTCAGAAAGGGCCCTGGGCGATTCTACGTCCCGTCCCGGGGCATACCATTACAAAAAAAGCACTGGCAAGGGGTGAGAGGTGCAATTTGGGTGTGGGAGGAAGTACAGAAGAGGATGCTGGCTCAAGGAGAGGGCTCCGGGCTGGAGCGTGTTGGGGTCAGGTGGAGGGTTGGGGGTGCTGAGCAAGCGGCAGGCTTGTGGCTGTGAGGGTGCAGGAGTTCGGGCTGGGGTGCATAAAGGGCTCAGGGCAGGGAGGCTGGGAGTATGATGGGCTCAGGACACAGATTTGCAGTGTGTGGATGGTGCAGGAGTGTTGAAGACCAGATGGAGTCCGCCTCATGGCACTTTATATCCATCCCTGTTACCTTCCAAGCTGGAGCGGGTCACATGGCTGAGTGACCTTTCCCTGTGTCCCATGTCAGCAGCCATGATATTGGCTGGTTTGCAGGTCTCAGGTGTGTACAGGGCACCTTGAGAACCATTGTTCCTGGAGCCTCACCAATTAGCATAGCCAGTGAGTGAACAATTGTGCTTTACAACAGGCGGTCCAGAGCCCATTGCTCTGTCTCAGACAGAGAACATTCCCAGTATAAGCACAGAGTCCATATTCGTAATTCCACATACAGATATCAAACAGGTATATGAATAGCATACATAGAATCAGTAGAACATAAGCTTTCCTTTGACACCTCACATGGTCCCCTTTGTACAGACTTTGGGGCAAACACCCCCCCATGGGCGCAGCAGTGATCTGGCTGCTCCCGTTAAAATTGAATAAAGTGACAACCTGTTTCCTGGGTGAGATGACTAAACCAGGACTTGATGTCTTGGCTCCCAGTCTGTAACCCCTCCCTACTGCCGGCCATCAATCTGCACATGGAAAAAGCTTCCCTGTAAATCATAGGAGTCATTTGTGGCCGATGAGAAATTGTCTTTCAGATGGAAGCAGTAACATCGTGTCCCCTGGGAAAGCCAGGCCAATGCATGTCTCAGCACTTGGGAGCTCATTCTTGGTGGCGGTTTGTGTGTGCGCGCGGCTGGAATAACAAACTCCTCTCTTCAGAATGTGCATCGTGGGTTAGAGTCAATCTGCAAAGCGGTGACTGAAGTGAAGGAATCAAGTTCTCTCTCAAGCGGAGAGGGAAGGAGACTCTTCAGTCTCAGGGGAAAATTCTTTAGAGCTTGAAAATATTTTCATTTTGGAAGGATTCAATTTGTGCCCTTTATTTTCTCTGCCCAAGACGCACTTCTGCAGCTCCTGGGATTGGTGCTGGATTGACAGCCAGGCCTTCTGTATATTCCCCAGACAGGTACATTATAGGCAGAAGAGCCACAATCTTTTCTCTGCACTGCTCTGTCACTGGTCCTGGGAGAAGAGCATAGTTCAGCCTTCTTCCAGACAGATGCATTATAGGCAGAAGAGCCACAATCTCTTCTCTGCACTGCTCTGTCACTGGTTCTGGGAGAAGAGCATAGTTCAGCCTTCTAGAACGTTAATTTCCTGGCTGCTGTGCTGAGACTACAGTTCCAGCTGGGATGTAGGTACCCTCATCCATCTGACAACAGACTGAGGCTGAGTTTCCATATAGCAGAGCTCCAAGCAGCCTTCAGCTGACAATAACAGGCACCTAAGACACATCTAGAAAGGTCTCTATTCCCCTGATAATTGACTGAGCTATACCAGCCCCCCAAAGTTTCCCAAAGTTCATGGTCCACGGTTTTCTTCAGTAAATGTGGAGTGATCATGTATCCTCTGGAGTGATTAGATTCAATAGCCTGAGGGCTACTCTATGAGGTAGTGTGACTTAGTGGGTAGAGCACTGGACTGGGTCTAAGGTGACCTAGATTCTAATTCCAGGTTTTTGTCCAGGCCTGCTTGCTATCCTTAAGCAAGTCTTCTTTCCCCCGTTGCCTCAATTTTCCCATCTGTAAAATGGGAATTCTACTGACATCCTTTGCAAAGTGCTTTGAGATCTGCTGATGAAAAGCACTATTTAAGAATGAGGTATTATTATTAGAGGGACAGATTCATCACTAGTTTAACTCTGCTGAAACCAATAGATTAAATGGCCCACTCAATGTTTGAATAAAGGAGCCCTTGGGCAGAGAAGCTGGACAGTCAGAGACACTGTTCAGTAAGTTATATTTACAGGCAGGCAAGCAACACAAAAAGTGTGAGTGATTTTCAGAAGACAGAGAAGACACAGTGGCTGCTCCCTGCCTTAGAGCCAATTTTTATTGGTCTGTTCTGAGCCTGGCAAGGCAGCCTTGCAGACACACAAAATCCCACATTAAAGTGTTTTGCTATGTTGCAGTGTCACAGAAGTGCAGCATCTTCCCAAAAGGGGACAACATCCTTGATGCAAGATGAAAGGCTGGGATTTGGTGGAGCTGGAGACAAAAGCAAAAGTAGCAGATACAAGGCAGAGAAAATTTCTACAAAAGGGGAGAAGCCCCAGCTTTATAATGTAGCCAGTCAGAAAAGCAGAGAATTGGATCGGTTGTTTTACAGCACCCTCTGCTGGCAAAGGAATGATATTGGCAATGAACATCGAGTTCTGCTTTTTAAGTAACAACATACTCATTCACTTACAAAAATAACGTTAAGCAGGATATAGAAAATGTTTTAACACATGAACATGAGAGCTGCCACCTGCATCGGACTAGTGATCCAAGTAGGATCCAGCCTCTGTCAAGGACCTGCCCTCAACTTTCCTAACAGTAGGCATGAGTGTGAACAGGGCGAAGGATGTCAGAAAGGCAAAAGTATTTTCCTCACCCCTTTTAATATATTTTCTTTTTCTTCTTTTTCCCATGCAGAGGAAGTATGAGCCAGTGAGAAAGGGGAATCAGGGCTCTTTGATTTACTTCTCAGTCCTGTTTTCCTGGGAAACCCAGGGCAAATGACTGATCTCACTGGGCCTCCATTTCCCGATTGGCCACAGGGGGGGATACCAAATCAGAGTCCCTGGCCTACCTCCCCTGAAACTTTTTCTTTGGCTAAGGGAATGAAGTGAGAGTGTTATTACTGCCAGGCTGTGTCAAAAAATGGGAATTCTTTTCCAAGAAAAAACAGTTTCAAACAAAATGAAATATTTTCATGTCATTCTAAACCTCGTGCAATTTTTTGATGAAATGATTTAAAATTAAAAACAATCATTTCAGGTGAAACTGGAGATTGATTGTGTTCATTTTTGGGGCTTTTCCTCTCCTGTTCATGCCCTTACCCCATCCTGCTTTTCAATGGGAAAAAAAAGAACGAATCAAACGGAAACCTTTTCATTTCGAATCACTTCCGCAAAAATTTGAAAATGTTCAAATCCACAAACAAGACAAAAAAGTCACCTAATTTAAAAATGTTTTAACCAGCTCTAAAGACTTTTTCTGTTACTAAGTTTAATCAGCATCATGGGAAAAATATTATTTGCTTCTGTGAGGGTTTTACCTCCATAATTAATACCAAGGTTCTAGTGAGTGCACTTTAAAGGTTCAAGTCTAAAAAAAGTCTCATCTATAGCAGGGGTGGGCAATAATTTTTGCCCGGGGGCCACTTCAAAAATTTTTGAAGTAACCCCGGGGCTACCCCAGAAGGGACGGCGCCTAAACAGGAAGGAGTGGGGCCTAAACGGGAAGGGGCAGGGCTACTTTGTCCCCCCTTTCCACTAGGCAACCATGCCCTGGAAGAGGCTTGGCGCACTCCACCACCAATCAGGGTCTGGGGGCGGGGAGCGTGGGAAGCCTCCTCCCACCCTGTGAGGAGCACGTGGCACTTTGAAGTGCCGCAGGCACCTCATAGGGTGGGGTAAGGCAAAGAAAGCTTCACGCAGTTCCCCCCGCCCCCAGGCCTTGATTGACCTGGGGGTGGAGGAATGGATGAAGCCTTCTCCACTCTGGCCCCGCCCTGCAAGCAGCGCACGGTGCTTTGTAGTGCTGCATCACAGGGGGGGATACCAACTCAGAGTCCCTGGCCTACCTCCCCTGAAATTTTGTCTTTGGCTAAGGGAATGAAGTGAGAGTGTTATTACTGCCAGGCTGTGTCAAAAAATGGGAATTTTTACCCACCCCTGATCTATGGACTTGCTTTTTTCCCCACACAAGTAGGCCCACTGACTGAAGTAATTGCATTAGCTTCAATGGAATTACTCCAAGACATAACCTTAAGCATGTGCTTAAGTCTTTACAGGATCAGGGTCTGAATAATAAATTACACAATTTCTCCTGTTTTTGACCATGAGCGTTTTTATTATCCATCACCTTATTTTTTCTTCCTAATGTAGAGAGTAACAGGACTCGACTAGCCAAAGAGTATCATCTCTAACAATAGGACAGGAGACAGAAAGACGGATCTGGAAAAAGACATTTCTCATGCATTGAAGAAACAGAATAGGGCTCAGGGAGAGTCACATAACAACTAGCACCAGAGAGGTAGTGTGCAGACAGCACCAGAGGAAGCTTCCTTCTTGGTATGCCTCTAACCTAGGCTGCAGGACTCGACTAGCCAAAGAGTATCATCTCTAACAATAGGACAGGAGACAGAAAGACGGATCTGGAAAAAGACATTTCTCATGCATTGAAGAAACAGAATAGGGCTCAGGGAGAGTCACATAACAACTAGCACCAGAGAGGTAGTGTGCAGACAGCACCAGAGGAAGCTTCCTTCTTGGTATGCCTCTAACCTAGGCTGCAGAGTCTTCCAATAGTGGAAAAATGGGGAGTTTGCTATCCATAGTCCATACAGTCCTCACTCCCTTGGGGAATGTCTAGATTACATGGCTCCGTCGACGGCTACCCCAGAAGGGACGGCGCCTAAACAGGAAGGAGTGGGGCCTAAACGGGAAGGGGCAGGGCTACTTTGTCCCCCCTTTCCACTAGGCAACCATGCCCTGGAAGAGGCTTGGCGCACTCCACCACCAATCAGGGTCTGGGGGCGGGGAGCGTGGGAAGCCTCCTCCCACCCTGTGAGGAGCACGTGGCACTTTGAAGTGCCGCAGGCACCTCATAGGGTGGGGTAAGGCAAAGAAAGCTTCACGCAGTTCCCCCCGCCCCCAGGCCTTGATTGACCTGGGGGTGGAGGAATGGATGAAGCCTTCTCCACTCTGGCCCCGCCCTGCAAGCAGCGCACGGTGCTTTGTAGTGCTGCATTATGTCTAGTAAACTCATCTACATGGCTCCATTGACGGAGCCATGTAATCTAGACATACCCTTGGTGGAGGCTGAGGACATGGGTGCTAGTTCTAGCACTAGCTGTCATGGTGACATCTTGTTGAGGATGGCTGTCTACTAAGAACTGGGCTGTGATCCCCACAACACTCATTTAACATAAGATTCCAAACCACAACCAGATGGGAGCAACTTCCAGCCACTTCCAACCTCCTCTCCACTGGAATCAGGGCGAAAGGTTCTGAATCCCATCCAGAGCCGAGTCTCACTGAAAAGGACCTCCTTGTTATGACCATAAGCTTAAGAGACATACCCGGGGGGGGGGGGGGGGGGGGGGGGGGATGGGGGAAAAC